CTGGCCTGTCTTTAGCAAGAACCCTGTCAGGTCCAGGGACCCAGAATCCCGCTAACCTCCAATGATCCACCTTAGTTACTTTCTACCACTGATGCCCATTCTTCTTGTTTATATATTTCCAGTTACTCTGTACTTGGAGTTGAGCCCAGTCTTCCACTGCAATAATCCCATTGAAATGCCTCCTATACCTATTGAGATGGTCTTGAACAGTATGTTTTACCATGCTTTACCAATTGTCATTGAATAATTTTGTAACAAAGTCTACTAAGAAGACATTAACACAAGATGCCTGAATTTATCAGAGTTCACAAACCTGTTTGAAGAGAACAAGGATACGTAGCAAATGAGCAAACAAGACAACAACACTTAAGACAAAACTGTGTAGGGGCTGGGGAAGCAACCACCAGCTCTCACTCTAGACCAAAGCTGCTTCAAAGCTAGGAGGTATTTAACCTATTCCAGCCCATTATTCAATTTTTATTTTATTTATTTTTTGGGGGGTACCAGGGATTGAACTCAGAAGCACTGGACCACTGAGCTACATTTCCAGCCCGATTTTGTATTTTATTTAGAAACAGGTCTCACTGATTATTGCTTAGTGTCTCACCATTACTGAGGCTGGCTCTGAAATCGTGGTCTTCCTGCCTCAGCCTCCCAAACTACTTGGATTACAGGCATGTGCCATCTGCGCCCCGCCCATCATTCCATTTTTGTTTCATTTATGGAACACTTAAAAAAATAAATAGAGCAACAAATATAACACTAATTGTAACTTTGAAATATTTATGTTTTTAGAGTTCTGTGGTTTTGATAAAAGCAATAGGTGAATGATTCATGATAATATTAATGTATTTAATGTTACTAATGGCAATAAATTACACAATAAGCTCTAGATTATTATTTCCAACCTATTTTAATGCATCGGTGTCAATTTCCTTGAAATATTTACAGAATTGAAAACTTGGGACTTAATGGGTTAATGTGCAACTTGCCGTGAGCTGATGGTAAAGCACTCACAGATTTGTTGAGTTTCAAAACAACAGAGAATAAGCACCCAATTAATTCTGTGTAGAAGGACAGATAATCTTTCAGAAAGGTGGTATACTTTATGGACAGAAAATCCCATACTAAAAGAAAGGCACTGATAAGGATGCAGGGACACCAAAGTACATACCATTAGGTGGGAGTAGACATGCGTCAATATAGCTGCCACTAAACAAACGTGACTCCTGGGTATTTTAAGTGAGATGTACTATAAGTAAAAAATATATTTTTTTTTCAAAATTTGGTATGAAATATTTCTTATATTGATAACATGATGAAATAATATTTTGGAGAGGTTAGTTAAGTAATTATTAATTTTAATTTCAATCATTCCTTTTTTTATATGTGGCTAGAAAGTTTAAAAATTACGTAACATGTCTTGCATTATATTCTGTTGGCCAGATGGTCTAGACCATTCTGACTCTATCTACAGATTAGGCTTTCTTTTGCTCCTCTTTGCAGAAGCCATCATTTTGTACAAATTTCTTCTTTCTGAAATGAAGCTTTCCTTCTCTCAAGGGGGGGATATTATTTATAAAGTACTTAGCAAGATGGTAAGGAGCCTCAAGGGCCTCTGTACTTAACAATGCTTCCTTTGTTCGCAGGCAGTCTTGATATTCAAAATGAACAAACGAGATGAATGTTAAAATCTTCGAGTCTCTTTACCTCTGAAATTACTGTTAGAACATTACCTTTTATTTTCCTGAAGTTTCCATGGAAGCTCAAGTTGTACTAGACAATCTTTGCTTCCTGTGGTAATGCAAATTTCATTTCTGGGGATTTGGAAGTGATTTTTGATAACACTTTAGTTTCCCTTGTTTTTCATTTCCTGTGTCTGAGAAAAGACATATTGATACAGGTTTCTTGGAAAATGTATTCTTAGTTCTCTTCATTCAGAGGGTCCTCTTATTTCTCTCCCTGAGGGACCTGCCCTGGCTCTGTTATAACATAAAAAACCCCCATAATATTCTCTCTTTTTCTGTTGTTTTCAAAGAGGGGATCCTAGCACACTGATGTTATTGGAGGGGGGAGGAGGTAGGATCTGCAAATTCTCAATTGTTTTTCTGTTTGGATACCGTAACCAGTTTCATCTGGAAGGGCCTGGAGCCTCCAGCTCAACATCTCTCTCTTCCCCTGCCTGGGTAGGGGGATCACAGAATAAACCTCTTATAAACAAAAACTCTATTTCTGTTCTGACTATAATGACCATCAATACCTTAAGTCAACATACACCCAGCTGCACTCAAACAAGGTGGTGTATGTGAGAAACCACTGAAAATGAAATGAGCTGGCTACTCAGGGTAGCTGGTGTGAATGTACATGGGAGAAAACACTGCCAAGGAAAGTTACTTAGAAATGCTCCAGAAAGCCCTGGGTTAAATCCTCAGTGCCTAAAGTGGAAGAAGTAACTGGAAGATGAGGTATACTTGGCCCCCTCAAACCAGACCAAATGCAAGGAGTGTGGTGGAGATGGAAGACTGGCCCAGGGTAGAGTTCACTTTTAATCTGATGCTGTCCCTAACATGGGGGCATTGTCAGAAGGTACTCACAGGGAGTGGGGGCATAAGTAAGTAATTCCTTAGTGTCTGGGTGCTGGGCGTACAGGAAGGAGGAAGCCTGCTTCCTGGCCTCCCAGTCTTGAGGGAGGGACAGAGGAGAAGGCATAAAAATGCAGCAGAGTTCTAAGCACTGAGGCAGTGAGCGATGGTGAGCACAGGAGGACCATCCAAAACCAGGCCAGAGGAAGAAGGGGAGCTTGGGAATGTCCTGAAGGAGATGCTGGTGCTGGTTTTTGAACAGAAGGTGTGGGGAAGTGGGAACAGTAAGAAGAGTGAGAAAGCAGAGGCCTTTAAGGACCAGTGTGTGTGACTGCATGAGAGGAGGGAGGTAGGGGGTGATCCTGAAGAGGTGGGCAGGGGTGGCCCATGGCCCCTGATATGGACTAGACCACAAAAAAATGCTCATTATCCTAAAATCCAGAGTCCTGAGGGCTTTAAAAGTGGTGATGGAGGATGTGGTAGGACAGGTTGGCATCATCAGATTTGCATTCTAGCAAGCCCAATGACAGGCATGTAGAAGATGGGTTAGACCCATAAGACCTTTTGAGGCAGTCACTAAGGAAGAGACAAGGGCCTGGAAGACAGCACTAAGAATGGAGCAGCCTCAGATGAATGAGGAGGCATAGGAACTAGTTTCAGAGACAGTATGGATCATCTAGGCAGATGGATCATGCTTCTCCTTAAGTTCTTGCCCTATACAATCTCCTCTGAGTTTGGGTAGGACCTGAGACTTATTTCTAGCCAACAGAATATGGAAGGAGAAATTTTGCAGATGACATATTAAGGTCCAAAATTAATTGATTTTAAGTTAATCAAACTGAATTCTGCTGGGAACGCAAAGTAGCTTACAAGCAGCAGCTTCCCAAGTTGAACCTCCTGATGAGACTACAACCTGTCCACATCTTGATTGTGACCCGTGAGACCCTGAGTAAAAGACCAGCTAGGCTTTGTCCAAACTCTTAACTCAGAATACCACAAGATAATAAGCATGTGTTGCTTTGAGCTACTTAGTTTGCATCCTGGGGATGGCCCCCTGAGGAACAGCTGGGGAGCAGGGAGTACTGAGGATAACCGAAGCTAGTAGTATTTATGGAGTGCTTAGTATATGTGAGGCACTGTACTATGCTCCGGTGCATGGCATGGCTCTGGTTTATTACAGTAAAAGGTGGGCAGGATCACGCGTTTATCTGCATATGGTCCCTGTTCCTTCCTTCCCGAGCTCAGACAAATAACTCTCAGAAAGCATGTGAGTTCTGCTTTAGATATCCCAGAGTCTATAGGCCTTTAATCAAGCATTTTCTTTAGTTATTGCCAGCTGGATTTTAACAAATTCCATGGAGCCTACTCAATTTTATGCATCCAGCCAGTGGGGAGGGAGCTTCAAGACATTTCAGAACTGATGTCCTGTTATACCTTCCATGAAGTAAAGGGAAGGCAAGAATTTTGTTTATTCATTTAAAAAAATTTTTTTTGTTCTTTTTAGATATACATGAGAGTAGAGTGCATTTTTTGACATGTTATACATACATGGAGTATAACTTCCCATTCTTGTGGTTGTACGTGATGTGGAGTTACACTGGTTATGTATTCATATATGAACACAGGAAAGTTATGTCCAATTCATTCTACTGTCTCTCCTATTACCATCCCCCTTCCCTTGCCTTCATTCCCCTTTGTCTAATCCAATGAATTTCTATTCTCCCCCGCCCTGCCCCCCTTATTGTATTAGCATCTGCATATCAGAGAGAATATTCTGCCTTTGGTTTTTTTGGGGGAATAAGGCAAGAAACATTAAGACACTTTTTATTACTTAGAGAAGTTTTATTTCGGGGGACACCACAGTGCAGAATTAAAACATTGTTTCACCTTTGTCTCACACCAGCCTAAGCTCTCAGCTTCCAACCCTCTTTACATGGAAGTCAGCCTGGTCAGATGCAGAGCTTGGCTGAGTAACTTACATGGAGATATGAAATATAACAGGGACAGCCACCAAAATGCACCACTTTCAAAATTCCTGTGTTTTCAAGAATAATCATTTTCTAACACATCATTTGTTCTCATCTTCAGATCTTCATGGAATAAAATTCATGAACTTAATTTTTAAAGTTGTTCTTCATCGGTTGGCAGCATTCTTACCAAATGACACAGCAAAGTGCATATTTTTTCTTCAGAAGTTCTGAAGAAATTCAGCCACTGAAAAGAATTTAACTTGCACAATCAGCATCACTCTACTGAAAGCCATTAAATTGTAATTATGGTGATTTAAAGAAGTCAACTTGTGAAAGAGGAGCTGATTGTTTCAGTTTGTGTAGGGGACACTAATAACACTGTAGAATCCTACAAGGATTTTTCTCCTCTGATGGGCAGGGGAAAAAGGAAAACACTTCAAGACATGAGAAACTTCTATAACTTTATGGAACCTGAAGAATAATGACTGCTCAAATTGCATGCTTTAGTGACAAAGTATTTTTACAGCTAACGGGGACCCAGAAACACAATACATTTAATAAGCAGGTAGGAAAACCAATCACGAATTAACATCTATCATATTCCACAACATAATAACATCTTTGTCGATCTTTTAAAAAAGGGTTCACTGTTCCTATGAGAAATAGGGTCAAATGCCAGCGATTGCCCAGATAAAACCTCACCCTCAGATAAAACCTCTATTACTGGTAATTGCAAATTTCAATCCACATCTCCTTTTAAGAGACTTATTCTGGGGATAAGACCAGGACTTTTAAAACTTCATTTTCTCTAATCACTGCAAGATAATATCAAACTTGTACTGAACTTGGAAAGTGGTCATGACTCACTCCACAATAATAAGCTAGAACTATCAGTGCTTACAGTGGAGAGCTAGTCATTTGCAGAAATACTTCTCTTTACCAAGAGGTTAAATGAGCCTCCCCTCCCTCCTGTCTCTTGCAGAGGACCATATGCCTTTAAAAATACATTACTAGTCATCAACAAACTAGGGTTGGTTCTCACAGTTAGTTTGCTCATTTATTCAACAAGTACTTATAGGATACTTATTATGTATGAGTCACTATTTCAGGAACTTGTGGTGATACAGCAGTAGATAATCCCCACACCCCCATAGATCTCCTATTTAACCTAGACTGACATAAGCAAAATAAACCAAACCCAAAGGCTTTTAGAAAGGAAAGGTGTGTGACAATCTTTTTCTCAGATTTTCACAGGAACAAAGGCCACCTCAGCTCACTCTGGATGGGAAAGGGTATGTAATAAACGGAGTTTCCACACACAAAGCATAAATGTGCAAACCAGACCCACCACACAGATGGAAGTTTCTAGCTTTCTCACAGCACATCTCTGAAGAAGGACGACACATTTTATCCATGCTATGTCCACCCTCTCCACACCTGGGTGAGGCTGGATGGGACAATGACTTAAAGAAGACAACAAGGCATTAGCCTCGTGACTTGGAAAAAACAGCTGCCTGCTCACTCCAGGCCTGCTGCTGCTCCATTCACTCTTTTACTGACTTTTTTTGGACTAACTCTAGTAAATGAAGGCAGTTACTTAAAAATACACAAATAAGATTTAATTAAGCAAACCCACATCTGAGGCCTGATTCAGAAGTAGTGTCCTCAAGAGCAGAGGAGCCTTATTCTCTACGAGGGGCTGGCTCTTCCAAGAGGCCACAGCTGCTTCTCCTCAGATACACAGGTAAGATCCTCTTGGAGTTATGTTTCAAATGATGTAGAAGCATATATAGAATTTTTGGTGTCTGTATGAGAGGGTCTGTAGCTTTAAAAATATTTGCAAAGGGGTTTATAGCCCCCCATAGTTTAAGAACCTCTATATTAGAGGCCTCTGCCTGTTGCTTGATAAAATTAAAGGTGTGCTGGAACACTGTTTTAGGAATATTTGTGCTGCTCCCAGCTGCCACACTATTGTTGTGAGTCGGTTCAGCAGCTTCACAGTAGTTCCCGAGGGAGACATGAGCCAGAAACCAAGTCAGCAGTCCCGGAGTGGCCATTAAGGGTCTGTGTGTGTCCTTCATAAGGCAGTGAGTGCTGATGAAAGCATTCCTCCTCGCTCTCAGAGATGGGCTCCCAAAAGCGGTCCACCAAGCCAACAATTCAGTGGTTAGAAGAATTAACTTTCAAGGCCAAGATATGTAGCCAGGTATCCACACCAACTTTTCAGAGCTATGGCTATTGCTCATCATCAACTACTCCACAGCTATTCTCCCTGCTCCCCTGAAGGAAGGTAGAGAGGGTAATTGTTCAAAATCACAATCTATGATATTGTTTTGCCCAAACGTCAACCTAGAGGTTTTGTGACTATTAAGAGGTTCATCTGCCTCTAGGAAAAATTATAACTATATTCTTAAAATCAGCTATGTGGGGGCAGGTGGGGTTGGGGGAGAGACAATATGATGTCTCCCAAGAACATGGAGCATTTGATGATTTTCTAGCAGGGCTTTTATTGTGGGTGATATTTCTCTTCTTAGTAGTCTTTTACGAGATTCTCAAGTCTTCCAACATGGGTCCTTCCTATTTGTATCTGCATGGCTAAGTGCCTAGTTGATTCCTGGGATACTGCAGATCCTACTGGAATTCAGAAAGTGAGACTGGGAAAATTAAGTGAAGCAGAGGTCAAGGCCCCTAATTATTTGAACTCTGATGAAAGTATTATACGTGGTAGGACTTGGAGAGTTCCTAGTTTCCCCAAAATATCCATTTTTACCATTTCAAAATACAAATTAGGGGTAGTCCACAGGGAAGATGCTGCTTCTGAAAAAAAAAATCATAACTTAGAAAAATATATTTTAAAAATTTTTTCAAATTTTCAATAAAGAAAGCAGAGAATTATGGTAGATTATCTCAGATACAACAATATAAAAGTAGCAAAATCAATGACTTAGATTACTGCCATTTCTAAGTCACACTATAATTCAAGAGTAATAAATATCATGCAATGGACAATAATTTAAAGCACTGATTGCATCCTTGATATTTTGTCATTAGCTGTCCTCTTCAGCTGTCACAGAAGTACAAATAAAATCTGCTTTTCTGTATATTCTGAAAGGCAGATAGCAGCTTATACAACTTCTGTTCTTCACCAGAATGCTATCAGATTAGGTAAACAACTCTCCTCGAGGGCCAAAAGTAAACTCTGAGCTTCCTGAGGGCTACTCGTGTAAGCAATGTATTAACGTTGTAAGAATTAAATTGGAAGAACCAAAGATTAGAGGTTTTTGTGTATAAAATGGGAACATACAATATATTTACATGGCAGAAATGTGAAGTTTTTTTTAACATATTATGAGTTAGCCTTAAATATTTATGAAATAGTGTATCCATTCTTATTCAACCATTTGTAACATTTATGTTACAATTTTCCATCAATACTAGGATGTTCTTCTCAAAAATTCTCAATTCTGACATTGTATGAGTGAAAACACATTTTTAGAAGCTGTGCTTAAATACAAATAAAATATACTGCTGGCTCCAAGAACACCATATGTCAAATGTCATTTATGTGCTCTAATCATATTAGGCCAAGTGTCCTTGACCGTAAACATTCCTGTGTTCTGATAATATTTGAGTAGAATTCTGTTTTAGATGTGTTTGACAACGCTCTATAGATAACCTCTTTGAAAGTGACTGAATTTGCTTCTTCTGTAATCTCAGATTTGTCCTTTGGGCTCTCTTCCAAAGCCTTTTTTCTTGAACTGAGGTCACTGTGGTATTAACTGAGCACCCTTTATAATCTATCTCATTAACTAAGTTTTCAGCCAGATGAGCACTTGGACCCTTCACAGCAGAGTGAAACACACAGTGGTGAGAGGGCCACAACTGGCCAAGGCTGACGAGGAACTGTGGAGACGGATCAAGTGGATGAGAGCCAAGACACCAGACTATACCCAGCTGAGGACCCTGCCAGGCTCAGGTCAACCTAGTGGTCCTCAATTATCCAGTGAAGGCTTTTCTTGTCCAAGTCAGTAAGGGCATGTAAGAAGATTCATATTAACTTATATTCTGACATGTTTATTATTATTTCATAAAACAAACCTCCCAAAGTGCCTGCTTTCTAGTAGCTCTCGGTCTTGTGGTAGCATGGGTACTGAAAGCTGTTTTTCCGAAGCTCTGAATGGCTCTTCACTGCTCTTACTAATCCTTCCTCTTTTCACTGATGAAGACTTAACACATGTATATTTGCTAGAGTTTGCAATCTTCATGTTGCTTCTCATAAGAAAGTCACAAACCATTCTTCATAATATCTTGCTGCCCATTATGTTCCTCGGTAAGACAAGCTCAATCTCTCTACCAAGACCCATTCATTTACCACAGATCAGCTGTGAACCCAACCAGGGTGCTTTAGCCAAAATGAATTCATGTCACAGAAGTCACAGATTGGTAGTTCAAGAACAAAATCATCAGCAAGAAGAATTTAGAAGTCTCTGTCGAGCATTCTTCTCTCCATTACTTGTTTTAGTTTCACTGTGTATGTCCAAATCTGTCAAAATTGAAAGCAAATATTTACAAAAGGCATGTAGCAAGAAGTATCAATACTAAGTAACTTCTCTTCTAAAAGATCCTTTTTATCTACTTTGCTTTACTCCTTAGCCTAATTTCAAAGCAGCGAGTTAGGTCAAGGCAACAATTAAATCAATAACTCTCTTGGTTCCTTTTAAAAGAAAAAGTTGGAGAACAATAAATGGGTCAGAGGTACAGAGAGAAAAGCCAGTAAGACAAGACAAATAAAAGCAAGAAAGACAATAAGGAGGGGTGCTGGGGCAGCAGGCAGAATATGAGACAGAGAGAGAGTCAGAGAAGGAAGACAGAAAAACCAGAAAAAGCACAAAGTGATCATCTTTGGAAATTTGGGGTGGCACCAATTCATTCCCTCTCCCTTCCAGTCTTGGACTCCCCAGGGACCATAATAGGACAATGATGGTTCAGATGACCGATGGGGTAAAGATGGTCAATATTCATAACGGGCTGCTGCAGAGTACGCTGTGGCTCCACAGCCTCTGCCCTGAGAGCCAAGCCTACCTTTGAGCTCTGCCATCTGGGCTTCTCCCTTGGTCTCTGCCGACATGGGAGATTTGCCATCCACAATATCCATCTTGATCATGCCAAGGTTAGTCAGCAGTAGCATTGGGTCGATCCCCTGACCACTGCTTTTAATATTCTCCAGTACCTTAAGACACTTGTATGACTTGAGTTCACTTATATTCTCCTCCAAGAAAAGATTGTAGAGGCTCAAGTCGTTGTACCCTTCAGACTTGAAATGCAGAACATCAAACGTGGGCAGAATTTCATACACTTTGAGAACATCTGTCTTCTGTCGCAATGGAACAAACAGTGTATAGACAACCACAGGGGCCAGCAGCACATACACCATGAGGTTAATGAAGCTGAGCAACTGGAAGATGCCGACTGCGATGAGCTTGCACTGAAACTGATCGGGGACAGTGCTGTCGTTTCTCAGGATCCCTGATTTGATGCTGCACACAAACTCATCTGAGAGTGAGGACAGGCTGAAGTAATACCCCAGGTACATGCATGCTAACAGTATGACAGTGAGTGTTATCAGCCGGCAGCCAATGTACTTGACAATCAAATTACTGGAATTTTTCTTTGTCTTCAAGTACTGTTCCACAATTGGGTACTTGAAGTGGCTTTCAGATATCTCCCACAAACTAAAAAGAAAAGGAAACAAATGAAAATAATTTAGATACTCAAATATTAAAGACATAAAAACATCCAACAATGTCACTAAAAATTTCAAACACCCATACTTCTCTACCTATAACTTTATTAGGGTAGTAAGGAATAACATTCAAGTTGAAAAAGTGGGAGTAAGAAAAGAAATAGCAAAATACCTTTCCTCTTAATATTTTAAAGAAAGTCTAGTTAATTAAGTGAGTTAGTACTCAGAAATTCTTAGAATAATACTAGAACTTAATTGTCTGTTAAATAATCAGTTCCTAAGTAGGAACTACTGCTTTGGTTAACTACAGTTTTTTCACAGAATACATTATTCCACAGAATAAGCTAAAGAAATGTTCAGCTCAATTGCAACACATAAGCCTTAAGCAGAGAAGGTCTGGAGACACTCGAGGGCACAGGCCTGTGGGGCCCAATTGAGATGGTTCTGAGCCCAGCTGTCTCACTTACAGCTATTGGGACAGTGCTTTTATCTGGAAAAAATAGGTAAGTGGAGTAAATAAATACACTTCGTTAAAAATGTTGTTCTGAGAGTTAAATGAGAAAATGTACTCAAAGACCACAACACAGTGTCTGGAATATACTACGTATTCAAAAAAAAAGTACAGCTATTATCATTACTGTTAATAACAAGAACTAGAGGAAGAATACAAGAAGACAAGGCACTACCAACTTTTTTTTTCCATTTCTTTCACAATTCTCTAAGTTTGATTCTCAAAATCCTCTGTGCTTTTCCACAGAGGAAGCTGTATACAGTACCTTCATCTGCTGCCCCTGTGAGAACTGCATATAAAAAGGAGATGCCGACATTTTACTTAACAAGGATGGTGTCTTGATAGGATAGATGTTGGGAACATATGGGTGGATACACTTTGGGGAGAGTGGGTGTTTCTGGCTCCCATAGACTGTCCCTGGGTGGATGACGCCTCTCCCCTTTAATTTACAAGCAGTGTAAATGGCAGACTGGCAGGAGAAAGGCAGAGAATGAGTACTACTGAACCTGTTGAGCTACCTGCTAGGGGCTAAGTTACCTTTGCCCTATGTTCTCATTAACACCTGGAACTGGGCAGGCACCATCTCTGAGATCCAGGTCACGTGCACTCCTTGCAGCCTTAATTGCTCGGTTGTAAACTTTGTCAAGTTCTTCCATGATAAACTTCAAGTCTGAGCAAAGATGAGGAGCAGCTGTGAAACGCCAGAACAACGTGGGCAGGTACAGGAGGATGGCAAATAGTAACAGGATGTAGGGGAAAAACTGAAAAACAAGAGAGCAAAACATAAGCTTAACAGGCCCCTGCCTGGTAGTAACAGTCACCTAATCTGCTATGTGTGGCTCACTTCTTCTCATTTTGAGACAAATGTGCATGCCCCTGTCACTTATGGAAACTGAGCTTATTACTTAGTGACAATTGCTTATGGCTAAATGCACCTGTCCAGGCAAAATGTAACCAAAACTTAATTTGACAGATATTAATTTGAAATAGTCAACAACAATGTGACACAGTATTTTCTTTCTAATCATAGAAGGAAAAGAAAAAAATAAATAAAATCACTCCCATGTCCTAAAGATCAATCTCTGAAAAAAAAAAAATTCCAATTAAAAAAAACAAGTGAGGGCTGGGGATGTGGCTCAAGCGGTAGCAGGCTCGCCCGGCATGCGTGTGGCCCGGGTTCGATCCTCAGCACCACATACAAAGATGTTGTGTCCGCCGAAAACTAAAAAATAAATATTAAAATTCTCTCTTTCTCTCTCTCTCTCTCTCTTTAAAAAAACCCAAGTGAATGTCATAACAGACTGCTGGGTTTTTTTTGAAAAATCATTTATTATAGGTTTAAGAAGAAACTAAGGATTAAAACTCTGATTTTCTTTACTCTCTAGAATCTGGTAAAATGTCAAAGAAACACCTAACTTCACCCAAAACAAATTAGAAAAATTCTGGCTTCAGTGATTATCTCAATAAGACAGCTGGAAAAAGCAGTGCAAATTCACAGAAATGGAAGGAACCATTAGTGCTAGAACAAACCAGGAAGATCCAACAATCCAGCCCCCTCATTTTACAGTTGAACAACCTGAAGTCCAGAGAAGCCAACCACCACGGGCAACAGAATTGAGAAGAGGGCTTCTGGATATGAGGTACACATAAAACAGAGGAGAGGGGATTTGGAGTCAATAAATGTGAGGGGCGACTTGGAGCCTGGCCCGCCAGGGAAGGAAGGCTAAGGAAGATCTGACCACAAGCTAGCATTGAGCTTGATTGAAACTCAGTTTTGTGTTCAGGAACAGTGAGGTCACTAAGCCTCTAACTCTCAGCGTCACTCCTCATGAAATGGACATGAATACGGATGTGGGGAAGATTAAATTAGATCACTTATGAAAAATGCTTCGCATGGTACCTGGCATGTAATAGGCAAATACATCAAATACACCAAAACCAATAGAAGGGCTAGCCAGGTGAGTGGTTATTTTTAGCTCTCACAATGACCCTAGCAGAGCTATATGGATTGCTCCATTGCCCAAAGGAAGAGAGGAAGCTCAGAGCAGTTTCTGGCCCCAGATCACAAAGCTGGTAAGCTGGTAATACCTCTCACCCTAGAACCATGCCTTTTGCATCCTAATATACTCTACTTCAATTTACTTCTCTGGAAAAACTCTCCTTACCTTTGGAGTGGCCTGTCTCCACAGTTCTTTGGAGTGGTACCTGGAAGAGGCCACGATGGCCTTGAGATGATGCAAACCCCCACCCCAGCATCTGTGGGAGTGGCCATCAGAGCCCACCCCACAGCTCTCACTAACTGCAGCTGCACAGAAGACAGTATAGTTCCCATGACCTCCTCACCATTCCCCCTGTAAGAAACGGATATTGGCACACCACTGTGAACCATGCTCCTGACTTTCATCTGGATTTCACAGTTTTTCCATCATTGTCCTCTTTCTGTCCCAAGACACAGTGCCAGCACCCAATGTAGTTAGTTGTCCTGTCTCCTGGCTGTCCTTGGTTTTGTGAAAGTTCCTCAGTCATTGTTTCATGGAAACAATTTTTTTTTTTTTTAACAGAAAGGAGATCAGTAGATTAGAGGAGGAAGACCAGGGGGAGGGAGGCAAGGAGGGATAGGGGAGATGCTGGGGAACAGAACTGACCAAATTATATTATGTATGTGTAGGAATATGTCAGAATGAATTCTACTATTATGTAAAATTATAATGCACCAATTAAAAAGTTAATTAAAATATTTTAAGTGCATAATTAATACACATATATTCACAGGGAAAATGGGATTACATTCATGTAAAGTTATCAAAACATTTTAAAAACACATGAAGGATCCACTAGATGGTCTAATAACTATCATACATTTGAAGTAGTGAAGAATAAACAATATTCCAGGGTACCTGTGATTTTGGTGGTGACACTACTATATGTTATTACCTACATACAATTTTTTAGTGTTAAATTTTAGTGAGAAGTGAATGAAAAATAAAGCTGTTATTTATTTTCCTGTCCCCATTCATGGACGCCCAATGCTATTAGGACCCACATTAGGAATCCCTAAAAAGGGGGAATTGAACAAAATGGCCCTGAAACTTTATAAAGCCCTCTCACCAAGACAGTATTACTGTGGGGTTCTGGCATGGAATAGGGTTTCTCAAAATTATTAACCCAATTTGCAAAGGGTACACCAAGTCATGTGTGGCAGGCTACGATTAGTTGAATTTTGGCTGCATAATTCAGAGTTGGCTCTAAAGAGAAACAATGCTCATTCAATCCCCGACTACTCTGATGGTTGTCCATTAGTATAAAAATGGAACTGCATGACTGTGCTGCTTTCACAACTAAGAAAGCCTGGCATTTCCTCTGGGAACCACAGGGAAATTTATTTCTAACTTGGGCTTGTGAAATGTTTTGTATGTCACTTTTGTTTCAAAGCTATTTGAATAACAGCATTTTACCTCAAACTGTTCTCCTAAATTAAAAAGTGACTGTTTATGGTCTGTGGCAATTTTTCTAACATGCCCAAGCTATGCAATGATTAGTACCAATGAACAGTTCAGAAAAGTTTACTGTAATTAGAAAAACAAATATTTAAAGGTATTACATATTGGGTATTTTCGTTTTTCCTAAATCATCTTATACCCTGATCACCTCTGTAGGAATGTAGTTGAATACTCCATTTCCTGATTTTCCCCAAGCTAAACTGCTTTCCTGCCCGCCAAAAATAAGACAGCCAACTTTCAGTGAGTCTTTAACAAGGTAGTAACATCAATTCAACTGAAACAGAAATCCAGAAAGCATTAAATTATAGTCTTTAGAATCCTTTCATCCAAACAAGGAACATAGAAGACATGCAGTGCTTTGAGAGTGATTTGTTCATAGGCTCCGTCTACTACATGTTAGGTCTGAGATGCTCAGCTTCTCTTAAAACCGTGATTGTACTATTTTGTAGGATGTATCAGTTAGTACTGAGCTCTTCTAAGACAGTGAGACACTAAGCAGTTGTTCCAACAATTTTCAGTCTATTTGCTTAAAAATTTCTGTTGTTTCTGGAAGGGGCTGTAGTTAGAATAACAGAACCCCCAGGTGGAAGGATCCTTAAAGGTGATCCAATATACCCTCCCTCCATGGTAAATCCCTGCCACTCTATCTAAGGCAGAGAACCATCCAAGTAGGATGAATCACTCCTCTCTGGAATGTATATGGTCTTGTCTTACGGGTTCAAACACAGATAGGTGAATTTACTCAGAAACAACTCCCAGGGACCTGTTTTGCGCCATGAAGCAGACAGAACACAAGCCCTCTCAGACCAAGTGCAAGATCTGTCCCAAGATCACAAAGGATGAAGAATTAAATAGCCAAAGCATAGAATATGTAGGTACTGAACACTGAGGGAATAGAAAATTTCTGGGAAGGCCACAAAAACTTCATAAAAGAGGTAACCAATACCTGAACTATGTCTTAAAGTATAGGTAGGTAATAAAAATTAAAACAAAACAAAATCTTACTATGTTAAGACTCAGTCATTGGATTAGAAACCACTCTAACTGCTATGACATTGTCATATTAATTACATATACAATGACCCCATTTCCAAATAATATCATATTCTGAGGTTACAGAATGACATGAATTTTTAGGGGACACCATTCAACCCAAAACACTCTTCCAGCCTCAGTTCTTTCTACTTTCTCATTTGTGAGCTTGTTGTTTATTTTGATGTCTTAGATGGCTGAGAATTCAGAGGATAAAAGGCTTTTGAGTAGGGGAGGATGGATTCCCACAGGGCAGCAAAGGAAGAGACTTCACTCAGGTCTGCATGAAAACAGAAATTAAGGCAGGGAGTTCCCTCCGTGGAGTCTTGTCAACTAGTGGTGGTACGTGTCTTTAGGATTCTAGATAGGGGTCTACAAAGGTTTTCCTTTAAAGAGCTGAAGAGTAAATACTAGAGGCTTTGTGAGCCATACAGTTTCTGTTACAACTATTCAACTCTGCCATTATGGTATAAAAGCAGTCGCAGATAAAGTATAAATAAATGAGGAAAGCTGTGTCCAAAAAAGCTTTATTTACATAAAGAGAATAGGTTTGGCCTGAGCATGGGTATCATGGTTTGCCAAACCTGGCTCTGGATTCTTGCTTCTCAAAGATTGGTTTGATCCACAGAACAGTAACTTCAGTTATCTCCTGGGAGGTTGTTAGAAATGCAGAATTGGAGGCCCCCATCAGGCCTACTGAATTGGAGTCTACATTTTCACAAGATGCCCAGCTGATTGCATGAACACAGAATTTGAGAAACAGCAGTCTGCAAGAATGGTGCCCATGTTGGACTCCATTCCAGGCTGGAAGCAGCAGAATCTCCTGTGAAGCTGATGAAATTTCCAGAGATTCCAACCTAATGGTCTCGATGGGACTCAGGACCCTGTATTTTCTCAAGCCCCCTCAGGTAATGCTAAGGAAACCTATCTGGCAGCCTCAAGGACTCTTCTAACTAAGTTTCTGTGAAACTACTTAAGAGAAATAAAGAAAGATTTGCCCACTTTGTTTAACATTTTTTATTCTTGTTGGTTTTATTTTTCATTTTCTGTTTCAGGCGAAAATCTTGCCAACAGTTGCTTGTCTACACTCTAAACTTCAAGAACAGAACATTAAAAAAAAAAAAAGGCTAGTAATAAAGCAGTCCCAGAGCACCACCTGCTGGTGTTTCTGAATGCACCCACACCTCCAGCCAAGACCTCTCTCCCGCTCTACTGGAGGCCATCAGCAC